TCAATTAATCTCTTTATTATTGCGATGACAACTTTAATTGGCTTGTTTTGTCCGACCAACAGTCATTATCTTGAAGACATTCAATTTCCAGTTGTCATCTATTCATTTTTAGCCAGTACACTATCAATTGACTAATTGTTTCAGCACATTGTTGCAATAACAGAATGATCACATGGACAACTAGTCAGGCATTCAGTATAATCAAAGTGTGATGGTGAAACTTCTGACACACACACACACACACACACACACACCTACCACAAGCATGCACATCAAACAGCAACAAGAAGTAGCTTGTATGCCAAGAATTTCTGATCTAAAACATAAATCATGACTCAGGCTTCAGCAGTCATGGTGTTCACATACCAAAAGTATTCAGCAATCTGAGTTCATCCACAATAACAATATTTTCTTCTCCACTAGGTGGCACCAAACGCTAACTTTTCATGTCACTGCTCACACCAACTTGAATCAGCCCTATCACTCCATCATAGAGATACCTTTTAACTTTTCATATCACAAAGAGAAGGCAGACAAGTAAATATAAAGTGTCTTTAAAGTCATGCTAAACAGTTCAGGTCAAAGCTTAAGGTCTGTATGCACACTTTAAAATGACACTAAAAGATACTTTCTTAGGTTTCTTAGTTTTAGTCACCTTCCCCTGACTATAAAGTGAGGGGAATGCTTTTGGTGATCCATTTTAATGCTGCTATACAAACACATAAAATGCAATCAAAACTATTACTGCACAGCATCCTTTTGGCTGAAGCCCCTCTGGTTGACCTCTCAAAATATGAGTCAAGGGGTTATTGGTGGTAGGCTATTTTTACATCAATTGTGTTATTCTTTGAGTGCAACAATAATAGCGTGACTCAGACTGCTTTACGCTTTCATTTGAAGTACCAGTGTGTAGGATATAGTGGCATCTAGAGGTGTAGTTATAGAATGCAACTCTCTTGCTTGCTCTCTTCCTCCCCTTCCAAGTGCGAAGGAGAAACTACAGGAGCCGCAAAATGAGCGATTTAGAGCCAGAGTTTGATTTGTCCATTCTGGGCTACTGTAGAAACATGTGGGTTCAATATGATGGCCTCTATGGAAGGCGACCTGCTGCCTAAGTAGATATAAAAGGCTCATTCTTAAGGTTAACAAACCAAATGATTCTTATTTCCAGGTTATTATACACTAATGAAAACATATTTATGCATATTATATT